ATCGTCAGCAAAATTACGAAGAGAAAAAACAACAAGGTTCGAGATGAAATTTTCATAGGGAGGAAAGGATAGCTAAATAAGTCAAATGTAAAAAAAAAGGGAAAAGAAAATAACATAATTACTTGTCATACTGGAGTAACTGCTCGATTGATAAGTTCAAAGTGTGATCTACTATTGTACTAGACATTGATGGATGGTGTTGTTATTGAATTGGATTAGATGCCAGTAATAATTGTTTCTTTTCTTCTTTTTTCTGATTGTTGGCTCGTTGTTCGACACGAGTCGCAGCTAAAGAAGCAGGTGTTTGTTGTATCGTGTCTCTTAATAAATCACCAGCACTTGGCAATTCAAGAGGAGGTGCAACCATTGCCGTCAATGAACGATTATATCCGACGGTCGTTCGATCGAAACTGGAAGACATTTGGGAAGCACGCTGCATTTCCATAAATTCTTTAAACTGTTGAAAAATATTTGAATCCCAAATTTGTTGTGCCTGGGCTTGTCCAATTGTCTGAGATGGATTCATATTTCTCTGCTCAAATTGTTGATTGATCGTGAGCTGAAAAAAAAAGGATATTATGAAAAAAAAATTGACGATTGAAATGTTAATCGGATGGAATTTGTACCAAAGGTCTCGAAAAATTGCTATATGCTCTTACGACTTTGGCGATCAAAGTTCTTCTAAAGAGTCAAATCATAACAGGTATAATAGTTTTTTTTAATTTGTTGAAGTCCGAGTCGGGTGGCGGACATTTCACACTAAGTCATTCCGAACTCCTGTCATGTGTCCGGGTGTTCGGAAATGATTTTTGTCCTGGACAACTTTCATTACGAACACCCTGCTTTTATTTATTCTTGAATGATTTTTTCATTCCGAACTCCCGTACACCTAATTCCGAACACACTGTCTTTTTTTCCTTATGTTCGGAGATCGTAACGAACACCGGCACCGGAAGATCGTAATGATAAGTTGGTGCGAAATGTCCCTTTCCCTCCGGGTCAAATTACTCCTATAATGTAGTTTCAACTAAGTATTGGTACAAAACGATTGCGATAAAATTTTTAATCTCATTTTTACGTCTACACTCAACATTATTCCGATGTTGCATTTAAATTAATATGAATTACGTAAGCTTAATGAAAATCTATGTTATATCAGATTTTGGCTTTTTTTCCAATTAGAAAAATTAGAAAATTCATTACTGAATATTAGAATTTATCAAATTAATTACTTGTTGTGTTGAGAAAAAAGGCATTGATGAACCAGAGGCAGTTGACATTTGAGTATTTGTATTGGATGAACTGGAATCCTGATTTATCATATGCTGCTTTAAATAAGTTATTCAGGAAATAAATATAATAATAAGTACTATGAATGGAGAAAAATTAGCTTACTGCCGAAGTTTGATCATTCATTGAACTATACACTTGATCAACCATAGAGTATTGATGATTATGTTTATCACACTGAAATGTTAACAGAATAGTCAGAAAGAACCGTAATTATTGGGAAAAAAAGTTTACTTGTTGTTTATTCATTTCATCATCTGTATGAATAATATCATCACAGTCATCATTAATTGATGTATTTGCATTCATACTAGTTTTTGAAGAGGCAACCATTGAAATATGTCCATCTTCTGTATTGGTAAGAAAGTGACCCATATTCTAAGCATGAGATAAAAATTCAAATGTCAATATAGTTCATGGATCTATCCATACTTATGAAAGTTATATTATTTATTTAGTTTTTTTTTATCGAACGAGAGAAAACTGTCCATTTCGAATTTGTTCAGTAATTGATGCTCGAGATACCTAAGACTGGATTATAAATAGATATAATACAACCTAACCTAAAGGCATGTTGAATTAAGTTCATAGGGTGTACCATTACTCGATAGTGGTTCAAATCATTTCCTTACGACAAAGACAAAAAATATTCATATTCAGAAAACAATTTCTCTGTAAAACTTTTCCACATATCTTTTTAAAAATCGTTTTACCACTTACGCAGCAGTGTTGGATAATATGAGGATGTGCATGAAGAAAGTTTTTTAATGGTGCAAGAGCAATTAGTTCACCTATATCGACAGTCGAATAAGTTGGTCGAAGTTGGTGGATATTAAGATTAAACTTGTGGAGATGTTAGTTCATTTTATTAACTTCTGTGAAATCAGAAAAATCGAGTGGAGGTAATTTAATGTGATAATCGAATGGACGACTAGTTGATGTTTTGACACCTCTCGGAATTCTGATTAACAAATTCAAATCACATAATTGATTAATAGCTTTTTCTCGTTCGTCCTTCCATTTGGAGCTATATGAAGAAATTTGACATAAGGTAAAACCAATATGTTTAAATTGAAGAATTTTTTCAGTAATGCTTCGCACGCGGTCATCCATTGAAGATGATTTCTTTAACTTGCTTCGTTTTGAATAATGTTTATCGTTAGAAATGTAACCATCCATTTCGACTTTATCTAAATTTTCTTCTTCATATAGATCTGATGAATTTGTATGGTGTCGTTTTCGTTGAACTTCACCTCCATTTCCTGGTGAAATCATAACAGATTCAGTAAAATTGGTTTGTTGCTGATTATCACCGTCGTCTGTTGAAGATGGAGAAATTTCTTCATCATTGACCATATTGTGTGGCTTTCTAAAATTAAATCCTTTTATCAAATACTGTTATAATCTATAGATGTTTGTTTCCTATCTATTCTTAAACTAAGGACGTAGCTGCTGGAAGCCGTGATATTAATCAGCTTAGAATGTCCAAATTCTGTGAATTCGATTTCTTGAAATGTATAGACTTGCTTTTCAGGGATATTCGTGTCAAAAATCAATCAATAAAGTGCTGCAATTTCTTTAAAAATTTAAAAGTTACACACAAATTTATATTTTGAAGAGAGAAAAGGAAAAATAATTGTATAAGAGACTTACTGAGATTTTTCAGATGATGATGTTGGTTTCATTATTAGATTAAGATTGTTTGTATTCACCGACGAATTCGAACTCCAATTCATGTGATTGTACACTATAATAAAATGAAGTATATATTTTATAAAGAGAAAATATTTAAAATAAGTGATACAAGATTTTCTTTATCATCCGCCATAAAGTCAGAGTATAAGGTTGATTCTTATCTCAATAGTTTGGTAGATATTATCAGCAAGAGAGATAAAAAATAACTTTTAAAATATTTGCTAACCTTGTTAATCCGTAACCGGAAAAAAAACACTCGTATTGATTAATATTCATTAGCACTGTATTAATAGCTGATTGAACTACTTGAAAATGAATATCAAGTTGAACGCGTTCTGATAAATCGGTTCGATTTAAAAATCGATTTGCCAAATCAATCATTCGAAGCCGAAATATATTATCAGCTTTGTGATCATTATAATGTTTGTATTCGGGGTAATATTGATCAAGCAAAATGAATGCTAATTCAACAAGTTGAATATTGGCAGCTAGTCGATAAGTATGCGCTCGTGATTTGCCGAGACGGTTATTGATCCATTGGTCACCATTTTGATTCGAGTAAACTAGAAAAAGTGAATAGCAGATGATAAAAAGAAAAAACCTATTTTATTTGTTGATGTTGTCGGGAAACTCTCTTTCTCAGGAAAGATCCAATAAAAAAGAGATAAAAACAGATTAAAAAAAGTGTGTTTACAATCAATATCTGAAGGATTCGTGTATGAAATTTTAGTCTAAATAAGATTGACTTTAACAAACTCGGTCAGATTTTAAATTTATCTGCACTTTTAACTCTTTTTCAGTTGATGTCAAATCTAAATATGTAACATATTTAGATTTTTTCCACTATTTAAATATTTTCTATGTATGGTATTTCTTTCTAATACAGCAGAGAAGCAGACAATCAGATAATCTCATGTATTCTACATTTATGTTTGCATATTGTCTATAGATGGTGTATCTCTTGTAACTACCAGAGAAGCAGACAATCAGCTAATCTCAAGCATTCTGTATTTACCTTTGCAGAGATGTCATAATACGGACACGGAATGTATCCACTGAATATACAGATCTTGGAGTAAGAATACGGACAATATCTGTATTCTCCTAAATCCCATAGATAGCTAATTCGGACACGTACATACGTCCGTATTCACATATATATATATATGTATATGTATTTATGAATTCTTGGGATTCTGGGATTTTACTCTGTATTCGTATTCAGTCTGTATCCGTATTCATAAATATGTATATGTATTTATGAATTCTTGGGATTCTGGGATTTTACTCTGTATCCGTATTCATAAATATGTATATGTATTTATGAATTCTTGGGATTCTGGGGTTTTACTCTGTATCCGTATTCATATATATGTATATGTATTTATGAATTCCTGGGATTCTGGGATTTTACTCTGTATCCGTATTCAGTCTGTATCCGTATTCATACATATGCATGTGTATTTATGAATTCGGAAGGAGCGGCGGGGGGAGGGGCGGGTATGGTGAGAGTGAGTCACGAGAAAACATGTTATGAACATAAGGAAGTATACATATATATGAATACGGATACAGACTGAATACGGATGCAGAGTAAAATCCCAGAATCCCAGGAATTCATAAATACATATACATATATATGAATACGGATACAGACTACAGACTCTGACTGGTGCAATTTACGAGAATATACGTGTTGTCTGTATTCTTACTCTAGGACCTGTGTATTGAGCGTATACATTCTGTATCCGTATTATGACAGCACTCAATATTTGATTATGGGAAACTCCGAAGAATTTATCTTTCTCAGCTCTAAAATAGAAGACAGATTTATCAGTACATACATATACAGTAAAGTGCAAAAGTCTTTGCCCTCAGTATTTCAAGTATGTCTCAGCGTGGATATGATGAATATGAAAACCGAATATATACATAGATAAGGCATGGTACAAGGTACAAAAGTGTCACAATTAATAGTTAATCCTCTCTCCCTTCAAGTCAATCAAAGCTAAACATCGCGCTTTCATCGATTCGACCAAATGACTTAGAGTAGCCAAGTCGGTTTTGTCCCATTCCTCGTGCAGAAATCTGTCCAGTTCATCGAGATTTGATGGTTTTCGCTTCTCGACACGACGTTTGATGATCGACCAGAGGTTCTCCACTGGGTTAACGTCGGGACTGTTCGACGGCCAGTCGATCATTTCGGGCACTTCGTTGCGTAGGAATTGCTTCGCCACTCCACTTCTGTGTTTGGGATCATTGTCTTGCTGCAATCGCCAGCGTCGACCGAATTGTCTTCTGGCGTTGCGGATAAGATGATCTTGAAGAATTTGAACGTAGTAAGGGCCATTCATAATCCTATTGAACGAATGATAGCCGACTAGGCCCTTGACACTGAAACCGCCCCACACCTTAATCTTCTGTCTGTTCTTCGGAATTCGTTTGACCTCGGCCCTTGGATTCTTCGACCATCGACGAATAGTGTTTCTGAATAATTGATAGCAGGTTTCGTCGGTAAATATTGTTCGGTTCCAATCGTCGTTCTTGTGTTGAATTGCCCACTGAACACGCGCATCTTTGTGCGTCTGTGTCAACATTGGCGTCGCATAGGTAAAGGAAGAACCTGTCCAGCTTGCTTTTTACTTGGCGTTACATGCCAATTACGAACACCTGTTTGTAAATGGTGTTCATTAACGCAGACTTCTATGAGTTTGAACTAATTTAAAATTTATCTTCCTTTACGAACGGGTTCTCGTCAATGGCGTCCGTAAAGACTCAAGAAATTTTCTTGAGTATTTACTTACGAATATCTATTCGTAAACGGCGTTCGTGAACCAAATAGGCACAGATACAAAAGCTCTTATTTTTTTACTCTTTAGCCGATAAAAATGCAAATAAACGTTATGTAGCAGAGTCAACAGCTGCCTTTTCACCAATGCCAACTTCCTCGTCTGTACCAATGCTCTCAGATCTTCCACCGATTGTGACATCGCCATACTTTAGTTCTACTTCAGATCTGCGAACTACATTGCCGTTGACCAATTTAACTAACTTGGTTCCATCACAATCTTTCTCACCCTCACCCGCTGTAAATCGAATTCTTATCGTTCCTGGTACAGTAGCAGGTGCTTCTAAAGTCTTCACACGTATTCCTCTACGAGTTGTCACTTTATCGAAAGAAAATAACTAATTGTTGTTTTTGATTTATGTACAGGAGAACCAGTATTTTTTCTTGTTAGTAGTAGTTGCTTTGGAATATTTTATTCTGGTTTTTTCGCTAAACGTTTTTGGAAATAGTTTTTTTTGTAAAGCTTGTTTTGTTGCTGCTTGAACTTTGATGATATACTTTTTTGTGATAGCAACTATTTTTGATGAAATCATAGATTGGTGCGATTTTTTTATGTTTTGAAATTTTTTTTATGTTTTAAAAAAACGAATTTTTCAGAAAAAAAAGATAAGTTTGAGTTTGATGTGAGAGATATGAAGGTTGTCTAGGCGAGTGTATCTTTCTCACCTCTCATTTCTGTTAATTGTGCTTTTAGATTATTCATTAGATACTAAAATGTCCTATAAAGTTGTCTTACGTGATGATTTTGCTCGTGGAAGTGAGTATGCTGCATTTTAGTTAGGCAAATATTACGTCTTTGAACGTTTTCGTTTTCATTACTTTAGCGGAAATTATCGATTTTGTCGATAATGAATTAGAAATGAAAGGTTGGCCAAAGTTTATAACGCCTTCTCCAAATGCAGCTCTTCAGGAAAAATTAGAGACATTCTATGATGGCGAAAATAACAACAACGACGGAGTAAATCAAGGTGAGAGTTCGTTTAACAGAAAATAATGGAGTTAAAAAACTGACAGTTACTGGTGATTTCAAGAGTAAACCTGGACAGCAAGAGAAAGAAGAAGGACAAAGTAAGATGTTTCTATTGATTTGTTATGAATTTTTCGATTATGATGTTTAATCTTGCTTTTAGAATCCCGTGTTGTTTTAAAACGTCGTCAGTTTGTGCTTGCTGTTATTAAAGGATTTGCTACTCATGGACGAGTACAAGGTTACGGAAGTTCGGTTAATGCATTAGTTCAAAAATACAAGTCCAGTCATGTTTTTCCACGTGATCGTGTAAAATTTTTAATCGATTTGATGTATGTTTTCGTAATAACTGAACTATCTTTCAAAACACATGCAGTTTAACTGTTTTTCAATTTCTAGTTATAGTAAAGGCTATATTACATTTGAAAAACAGAACGATTCAAGTGCATCGGAAGATGGAAATAATTCAAACAATGTTCAGAAACCGACAAGTATTTGCAACTTGAGCATTGTTTTTCGTTTTCATAACTTTGGTTTTCATCGAAGTTTATATTTCATTTCTCTAGCCTTTGTTTAGTTCAAAAGGTGGCTGTCAAGAAACAAGAGGAAGCAAGTTCATCAAGCTCGTCAAAGGAACAAGAAGAAAGAAGTCAAGATGATGAGTCTGACGGTACAGTGCCAAATAATTGGACATCAGAACCTCTTTACACCTCTAATCTTCTAATGTGATATTCATGTATTTTTCTCTTTCTAATTAGGTGATACAGAAGTTGCTGCGAAAGACACAACAACAAAGTAAGATTGACTTTTCCAGGCTGAGCTAATCTAGGTTTTTTCACGCAAATCGTAGCTGGGCATTTCAATTCGTTTTTCTGTCCATTCAATTCACTTCAATTCGTTATTGGATTGAGCTGAAAATGAGCTGAAAGAGTTCATTTTCTTAGACTGGAAATTTGCTATGTTTTTCTGTTTCCCAGAAGATGTTTACTAATTTTGTTTGCAGAAATAAATTACATAGAAACTGATATTTGTTGAAAAGAATTGTTGTTCTAATCCTTTGAAAAACGCTGGGATTCAAAAATGAGTTCAATTCAACTGAAACCAATTCGTTTTCTAATTGACTCCAAATCGCTTTCAATTCAAAAAGAAGTGGAACTGAGTTGAACTGAGTGAAAAACTAGCTGATTAGCCCACGGCCGACTGTCAGCCAGTTCAAATCTGCATAATAGAAGTCTTCTGTTTAGTGTTAAAAAAATGAAACCGACTGAAGATGGTGCACCAACATCGCCTGCAACAAATACGGCTGTTTCGAATGATAAAGATAAAATTAAAAAAGAAATTAATAGTAAATGCGGTTCGTAGCGATGCGTTTTAGCAAAAAATTAATTTTAACATTTTTGATTTTTAGTCGCCTCGTCAGCGTCTTATGAACCATCGAAAGAAAACATTAAACCATTAGCAACTTTAGATCCGGCACCACATAGAAAACACACACGAAGAAATGCTAATCAAATGTTGGCTCCATGGGCTTGGCTTAAAAAAGTCGACAACACGAAATAAGACAAAAAAAAGTGTGATTTTTCTCATCTTTTTTTCTGTGTTTTGTTTGGAAAAAAAGATTGTTTTCAAGAACAAGTAGAAGTGTGTCCAGTGTTTGATTCTATCGTTCTCAAGTTTCTTAAGAACATGTAGGGCTTTTGGCTGTTTTTTGTCTGAGACAGAATAAAGAGAGAAAAATAAGTAAACAAGTATAGAAAAACTTCTGGAGACACTTGAAATCAGAGCATTCTACTTTTGGTAAATTCACATCAATACAGATACAGATAAAGGAAGAAAAACAAGTTCCAGGAAGCTAAATTATTCTGCCTTTTAAGGATATCCATTTGTCAATTGAATTCGTTAAGGTGTTTTGTCTTGCCGTTCGCATCTGAAATAATGCACATATAGTTCGTTTGTACACTACAGCCATCTTTCGGCTAAACTTGCAACCAAAAGATACAGTTATGCTTTTTAGAATTATGCACATAATTATGCGTTTTAGCTGGACTCAAACATTTTCTTGTCTTTTCTCTTGTAGTGACAGAAGTGCTTTGTACTTATTTTCAGCTCAATTTCTAACTGAGCCTGACTGAATCATTTATCGTGACTGAATCATGTTCTCCAACAAAAATCGAAGAGTATGATCCGATCAGGAGAGAAAAAGAATTCAAAACTATTGCAAAATGACCTTGAGTTTGTCTCTTCTGAGCATTCTACCAACATTTTGGGAATAGACCTTGCTCTTTTCTATTGTAGTGACTGAAGTCATTTTTACTTATATACAGCTATATTTCTAACTGGGAATCACTGAACTATGTTCTCGATGCAAAACACCATCATTATACATCAACAAAAATTTTCCACCGACCTCTTACCAAAAAGCTATAATACACTAACCTCAAAAAAGTAAAGGAGCACACGAGGAGGAAAAACACGAGAATATCATTGCAGACTACACATTCTGCATAGAGTAAAATCCCAGAATCCCAACAATATATAAACACAGATAGATATCTAAAAGTGAATACGGACACAGATTAGAGAGCCCGTATGAAGTAAAATCCCAGAAACGCAAAAATATATACACACATATATAAACCTCAATACAGTTACAGACAACAAACTCTCTATCAAGTAAAATCCCAGAATCCAAAGAATTTATAAATACAGACATGTAAATGTGAATACGGATAGAGAGTAAAATCCCAAAATCCCAAGAATTCATAAATACATATACATATATATGAATACGGATACAGAGTAAAATCCCAAAATCCCAAGAATTCATAAATACACGCATGTAAATGTGAATACGGTTGAGCTGTCTGTGGGATTTAGGAGAATACAGTTGTTGTCCGTATTCTCTCTGTAAGGCGTGTGTATTCAGTGGATACATTCTGTATCCGTATTATGACAGCACTCTACCTTTGAATATTGTGCGTATATGGTACATCGCTTCTTACTAGCATGCCGTTGCTGATGAGTGGTTGACTGGTTGAGTGGATGCGGGGGGGGGGGGGGGGGGGGGGGGGGTGGGGTGTGTTTTAAAGTGAAAAAGTGCCCGGGGTTTTTTGGGGGTTTTACCCCGGGGGGGCGGTTGGGGCAAGTATTTT